CACGTACCCGTTTGCATGCAAGACAAGAATAAATGGTGCGACTGAATCGATGCAAGCCCTGAAACAAACCGCGGAAAGAAAAGAAAATTGTGTGTGTTTATGGGGGGGGGGGGTGAGCAGTGGCTGTAACCACAAAAGTGCAGCAGGGCAACCACAAAACGCACGCACACACGCACACAGAAACACACGCACACGCACACAACAAACAAACACACACACACGCACCGAAACACACGCACCGAAACACACGCACACAGAAACACACGCACACAACAAACACACACGCATACCTGAGAAAGGTTGACGGCGCCATGCTTCTGGGCCAGTGGCGTGAATTCCACCCACACAGTGTCTTCAAAGCCACTGGCTCGTGCAGCCAGCCTGTTCTTGTCGCAGCACAACCTGCTGCTCGAGAGGCTTCGCGACAGAACAGCAGCACTGCACCACTGCGATGCCCGTGCCTGCTGCAGCAGCCGCCGGCCCACAGCACCAACAACAGCACCACAACTGCCAGTCATCATCGTCTGCTTGAATTGTTATGCGTTAATTTAGCATCAAATCATACCATCTTCCCGCCGCCCAAATTTCAAATAATTTACGACACACCCCTCTGTCGACACATGGTCATCACACACGCACGCACGTCAACAACACACACCGCAGCGATGTTCGCAGTGGCAGCAGCAGCATCTTGTGAGCGCCGCCCCAGTGGCGATGCGCAAGCGACAAAGGTGATGGCACACGTACTCATTTTCTTGTCGATCACACATTTTTGCATGTCCAGTTGTAGGTATTCCATGTGCTCCCAGGCGTCGACACACGCACACACACACATGCACGCACACACACACACGCACGCACAGACGCACACACACACACGCACACACACAGACGCGCGCGCACACACACACACACACACACACACACGCACGCACGCACACACGCATAGACACACACACACACACACACACACACACACACACACACACACACACACACACACACACACACACGCACACACACACACACGCACGCACGCACGCACGCACGCACGCATCGACACACACACACACATGTGCCTTGACGCTGCATCAGCGCCAACTGCATACAACCCACAGAGCATCGACACCTGCCATCTGATGTGTCATTCGCGCCTCAC